ATGTGCCCTTGACTGGAATTGAACCGGGGAGGGGGGGGGAGGGTCGGGGGGAGCCGTGTGAAGAGGCGGCTAGGGCTTGAGCTATAATTTGAGGGACCTGAGTGAAGGGATCTCTCTCGTGGAGAGAGAACTGTATGTATGCCAGCCCTGAGGCATGTGGTGGGCCAGGTCATGGTGTGCCTTGTCAGCCCCAGCAAAGGGGGTCTTTACCCAAAAACTAACAGGAACCATTGAAGGAATTTAAGCAGGAGCGTGACATGGTCAGCTTTGCATTTTGAAAAGATCACTGGCCAGGCAGTGGAGAACAGACTGGAGGAAGAAGAGAGAGAAACTGTAAAAGCAGAAACTCATCAGAAGGCTGCTGCCTGGACTGGAGTGGAGGTAGGTAGTAAGGTGGAAGAGGGATACATTTGGAAAGTTGTTTGGAGTGGTGCCCTCACATGCCTTGGTGACTGGATGTGAGGGTATAGGAGAGGGTGTCACCCAGTGAGCTGCAAGGGATTCTCTGACTTGGTATGTCCATCTCTGGTGCAGTTCCGCCCCCACCCTGGGCATGAGGCCCTCTACCCCCTAAGCTAAGTAACTTCACAGAGTCTCTGCAGGGTTGATAATAAGCAACTAGCAAAAGAAGTAGCTCACAGTGTGTAAGCCCCTCCATGTGGTCGGGTTCATATAATAATCATTTAATCCTTACCACAACACTGTGAGATAAAAGCTATTATTATCCCCACTTTACAGATGGGAAACCTGACATTTCTGGGGAGAGGCAGCTGGGACAATGGGCATTGTCTCTGCCTTGGAGGTGGACCCTGCCCTGGGTGGGACCCGCTTCCTTCTGGTTCTTCAATACTTGGCCAGGGTTTTGAGAGGGAATGGACAGTTTTTCCTTCCTCTCCTCCAGGGATGTGGGACTTTGTTTTGAGCACCTGACAGTCAAATCTCCACCTCCATCCCCAGGATTAGCTGCTTAGCTCCCAAGCAAGCTCCAGTTCAGACCTGTATCCTGGGTGGGGAAGCTCCTGGAGATGAACCACACACCAAGTTAAGGGCATTTCCTGCTTCTTCACGTCATTCTAGCTCTAGCCGCTAGATCTCCAATAGATTCCTAGAAAAAGCCCAGCTAGTACTTGCCTCCGGGCTCTCCCTTGTACTTACTGGCTGCTGCTTTTTTTATTTTTTATTTATTGATTGATTTTTTTATAGAGGAAGGGAGAGGGATAGATAGAAACATCAATGAGAGAAAAATATTAATTGGCTGCCTTCTGCACGTCCCCTACTGAGTATCAGGCCCACAACTAGGCATGTGCCCTGACCGAAATCAAACCTATGACCTCTTGGTTCATGGGTTGATGCTCAACCACTAAGCCACACCAGCCGGACCTTACTGGCTTCTTAACCTCTCTGGGCCTCATTCTCCATATCAGTAAAATGGAAAATTAAAGTAACTACCTTATACAATACACTAGGGGCCCAGTGCACGAATTTATGAGCCTTAAAAGGAACTGTGGGCCATGAGGCTGCGGTGGGCACAGGGGTGGGACTCGACCCATCCTCTGCACCCCTCCCGCCACAGCTCCTGTCCTCTGTCTGCTGGCAGCCCCGCTCTCGCTGCCACTGCTCCCACATGCTGATGGCACCCACTGACAGCGCAGAGCGATTGGGGCTGGCACCAGCAGTGGGTACAAGCAGTGGCTGCTGCCCCAATTGCCCCTCAGGAGCAGGGGGAGGTGAAGAAGCCCTCAGGGGCAATGAGGGCCGACAGCGACGGTGCCGAGCGATCGGGACCGGCACCAGGCACCAGCAGTGGGTGCAAGTGGCAGCTCCAGCGCCAGCAGTGGGTGCAAGTGGAGCCGTCGCTGGCAACAGGTGCGAGAGGTGGCTGCTGGCCTCGATCACCCCTCAGGAGCAGGGGGAGGTGGAGAAGCCCTGAGGGGCGATCGGGGCCAGCAGCCACTGCTCACACCCACTGATGGTGCTGAGCGATAGGGGCCAGCACCGGGTGCCAACAGCAGGTGCGAGAACTAGGTAGGACCATGGTGTGCTAGAGCAAAGAATTTTCAGTAACCACCAGAATCTCACCCCAATGACAGCGACCAGTGCCCCGCCTTAGCATGGTGTCCCCGCTCACCTGTTCCACCATCCCGACGCCTGCCATGTTCTGCGTGCACACCCTGGTGGTCAGCGCACATCATAGCGACCGGTTGTTTGGTTGTTTGGTTGTTCGGTTGTTCCACCATTTGGTCTATTTGCATATTAAGGTTTTATATACGTAGATAAGAAGTGCTCAGCCCTGGTTGGGTAGCTCAGTTTTAGAGCATCATCTCAATACACCAATGTTGCAGGCTCAATCCCTGGTCAGGACACATACAAAAAGCAACAAATGCATGCATAAATAAGTAGGACAACAAATCAACATTCCCTTCTCTCTCTTAAGTCAATGAATAAAAGTAAAAAAATAAAATAAATGCTCAGTCGGTGCTGGCAGCTGTTCCTTCTGCCCAGATCTCTCAGCTCTTTGCTCTTAGCTTGGCTCCTTCTCCTCCAGGTTTCAGCTCAAAGGTCATTTCCTCAGAGAAGCCCTCCCCAACCACCTGCTCTAAAGGACCCACATCACCCTTATCTGTGATCTTTATAGCACCACAACTAGAAATAGTTTGGTTCACTTATTTACTCATTTATTTCTCTTCCATTAGAATGTCAGCCCCAGGAGGGCAATTCTGTATCCCCAGAGCCCAGAACAGAGCAGATGTTCATTTTTATTTATTTATTTTATTTTTATTTTTTAATATATTTCTTTATTGATTTCAGAGAGGAAGGGAGAGAGAGACAGAAACATCAATGATGAGAGAGAACCATTGATTGGCTGCCTCCTGCACACCCCACACTGGGAATTGAGCCCGCAACCCAGGCATGTGCCCTTGGCCGGAATGAAACCTGGGACCTTTCAGTCCGCAGGCTGACGCTCTATCCACTGAGCCGAGCCAGCTAGGGCATAGCAGATGTTCATTTTTTAAAATCTGATGAAGGAATAATAATATGCTCTAAAGCAAATCATTTCCCTCTCCTGGCCCAAGCTTTCCCATCTGTAAAATGGGGATAATTGTGCCACCCTTGCAAGATTGTCATAAGGATGAGTGAAGGTTTTTTTTAGAAGAGGAGACAGGGAGACACCACCTGTCCCAGCTGCCATGGGGAGGAAGCTAAGAAACTCATCCTGATTGAAAACCTCCCAAGAACCCTAGGATGGAGGGAATGTCAGTCACCTGTTCCTGAGAAAGAATCTGAGGCTCAAAGAGGTGCAGTAACTGGCTCCAGGTCACAAAATTAAGTAGTCAGTGCTCTTTTTGCTGTGGCAACTGTCCATGCCCTTCCCATGACCACTGGCACAATGACATCCTCAAGACACCCCCTCCACACCTGTTGAGATTCTTCCCAACACAAACACCATCTCCTCCATGAAGCCATCTTTGATTGCTCCAGGACATTCCCTGCCTTGCAGTTTCTGTTGCAAATTAGTTTCCCCAGGAGGCAAATTCTGAAATTAGTGTGTAGACATTTACATTTGACCTTGAACAACTCTGGGGTTAGGGAGGCTGACCTCCTGTGCAATAGAAAGTCTGGGTGTAACTTCACCTGACCTCCTTCATCCCCAAAGACCCATCCATGGAGTTCACCCTTGAATAACGGGTTTGAACTATATGGGTCAATTGGAAAAATCCATGTGTAAGCAGACCTGCACAGTTCAAATAGTTCAAAATCGTGTTGTTCAAGGGTCAACTGTATTAGGGCATTATTGAGATCAATACCTGCTTGGGCCCAGCTGGTATGCTCAGTGGTTGAGTGTCGACCCATGAATCAGGAGGTTGCTGTTGGATTCCAGGTCAGGGCACATGCCTGGGTTGTGGGCTCAATCACCAGTAGGGAGCATGCAGGAGGCAGCCAGTCGATGGTTCTCTCATCATTGATGTTTCTATCTCTCTTCCTCTCTCTGAAAATCAATAAAAACATATCTAAAAAAATAAACCTGTTTGGGGGAGAAAAGGAAGGAAGGAGGACTGAGCAGAGGGAGGATTTATCTGTGATGTCACAACAATGGCTTCAGTGGACTACATAATCCTATATAATAAAAGGCTAATATGCAAATCGACCGAACAGCAGAACGACCGGTCGCTATGACATGCGCTGACCACCAAGGGGCAGATGCTCAATGCAGGAGCTGGCCCTGGTTGTCAGTGCCCTCCCACGGGGGAAGTGCCGATCAGCCAGAAGCCAGGCTCACAGATGGCAAGCTCAGCAGCAGTGATGGGAGCCTCTCCCACATCCACGGCAGCGCTAAGGATGTCCTGAAATTCCCTGCACTCATCCTCACCTGTGCAGCAGTGTACAGACTCAGTGTCCCAGCCCTGGAAGGCTGCTGGAAATGGCCACATCCCAGCCAAGAGGAGTAGTGATGACAGTTCTTGTCATTTAGTTCTCAGCAAGTGGCAGTCGGACATCACCCTAGGGCAGTGATGGCGAACCTATGACACGTGTGTCAGAGGTGACACGCGAACTCATTTTTTTCGTTGATTTTTCTTTGTTAAATGGCATTTAAATATATAAAATAAATATCAAAAATATAAATCTTTGTTTTACTATGGTTGCAAATATCAAAAAATTTCTATATGTGACATGGCACCAGAGTTAAGTTAGGGTTTTTCAAAATGCTGACACGCCGAGCTCAAAAGGTTCGCCATCACTGCCCTAGGGCTCCCGGACTGTGAGAGGGCATAGGCGGGGCTGAGGGACACCCCCCCAAGTGCATGAATTTTGTGCACCAGGCCTCTAGTGAGTGATAAAGTGAGATTTGGCCTTCAGAGTTGTTCAGCATTGAGACAAGAAGGCCTGGCCTTTGAATATCCTGCCCCCATTAGATCCACATTGGATGTGGGCTGCCCCTGAGGGGTGGGGAGTTCCCAGAGAGTGTCTTCCTCATTCCACAGCACTGCCAGCAGCTGGGGGGCGTGGGGTGGGGATAAGGGTGAGGAGGAGGCTATGGGCTCTTCAGCCCGGCCTCCCAGATCCAGATCCAGTCCCTGGCCTTGGACCAAGGGCACTGGGCAGCAACAACCACACCTTATTTCCATGCCCAGACTCATCCAAGCCTGAGGACCTAAGGAGGCTCTGAGCCAGGCTCCCCCTGAAATTCCCTGCACTCATCCTCACCTGTGCAGCGTGTACAGACTCAGCGTCTCAGCGTCCCAGCCCCGGAAGGCTGCTGGAAATGGCCCATCCCAGCCAAGAGGAGTGGTGATGACAGTTCTTGTCATTTAGTTCTCAGCAAGTGGCAGGTTCTGGCTGAGCTTATCCCATCCATTATCTCATTCATGCACCTCCCCACCCCCCACTCCCTTGAGGCAGGGTGTTTTATGACGAAGCAGGCTCAACAGGAAGCTGTATACCTGCCTCTAGAACTTCCTTTTGTTGATTGATTTTAGAGAGAGAGGGAGAGACACTGATTTATTGTTCCACTATTCGTGCATTCTTTGGTTGATACTTGTATGCGATCTAACGGACAACCTTGGCGTATTGGGACGACACTCTAACCAGCTGAGCTACCTGGCCAGAGCCTAGACCTTCCTGGTGGAAAGGGGCTGAGCTCTAAGACCCCAGATTCAGGAGCCATGACGAGGCCAGGATATTGTTTATATGATCCCTTCAGGTATATTCCGCCATTTGTCCTTTGGAGAGAGAGTCTCCATCCCACGAGCACGTCTGAGGTTGGCACTGGTTTAACCCCTTCCCTCCCAGAGTCAACACTGGCAGGGGCCTGCATGCTGCTTCCTGCTGGGGAGCCTGGGGATTTGAGGCTTGATGAGCCGGATGCCCCCCCAGTCCTCCTCCAGCCTGATGTCCCCCTGCTGCAGGGCCTGCTGGATGGCGTTGGCAAGTGTCTGGAAAGCTTGGTCCACATTGCAGTTCTTTTTGGCTGAGGTTTCCATGAAGGCCATGCCCAGGGAGGCAGCCAGCTCCTCTGCCTCCTGGGCTGAGACACAGCGGGTGCTCTCCAGGTCACTCTTGTGGCCCAGGAGCAGGAAGACTGCCTTGTCGGGGCCCTGAGTGGCCATGACCTCCTGGTGCCAGTCTGGAATGTGTTCAAAGGACTTCCTGTTTGTCACATCGAAAACCAGCAGGACACCCACCACATTCCGGTAAAAAGACCTGGTCATGCACCTGATGGGATTGAGGAGAGAGGAGTCAATGGGGAGAGCCCTGTACCTACCTTCAAGGCCCCCCCAGAGGCAGGACCTCCCCTGCATCCACTGACTGCCTCCCTCCCCCCTTTCCTTCTCCCCATTACAGCTCATTTCACACGGCCTGTGCTTCGGCTCCTGGACGCTGTCTCTCTCCCAAGAGTGCGCGCTTCCCGGTTAGGGAGTAAGTTTGATGCACATACTCTCCTGACCATTCCTCCCTCCCTTCCTGGAGGAGGCCTGATGTTTGCCCGCCGGAAAGTCCGCTTCCCGTTCTCTGCCTGGCAAACTCCTACGCATCCGTCAAGGCCAACGCAAACCTCTCCTCCTTTCCCATCCCCCGACCTCGCTCTCCGTGCTCCCGTGGGCCCCCTCAGCACCCACATCCTTCATCCCTCCAGGCTTCAATGAGGGTCCTCCCCCATCCAAGGCCTGCATTTCCTGACGGTGAGGGGGGTGGGGGCGGGGGAAGGCGCAACAGGTCTCCAGCATCTGGCTCGGGCCGCGCCCACCAGCTGCATTTGTAGGCGGCGGGACTCAGGAGGGAAGGACTGGAGACCCACACCTCTAACGGGGCCACTGAGGCTGACCCCTCTGAGCGGATCCCCAAACCTGAGGTCCCTCACCGCCTCATCCCCCCTTTCTGGTCCCTCCCCCGCCCACCGCGCACCCACCGCACCGCCCTCGCCCGCACCTGAAGCGCTCCTGGCCCGCGGTGTCCCAGAGCTGCAGCTTGACCCACGGTCCCGCCGGCAGCTGCAGCGCGCGGCCGTAGAACTCGACGCCCACGGTGGGCGCCGCCTCCAGCTCCGGCTCGGGCTCCAGGGTCCCGGCCGCGCCCTCCACGAAGCGTCGCAGCAGCGATGTCTTACCCACCGTCGCGTCCCCCAGCACCACGATCCGAAACTGGTAGCGGCAGCCCTTCGCCTCCATGGCCGAGTCTCGCCTCCAGCCTGTCCCGCGGTCACCGTCCCGCCCCGCCCAGCACCGAGGCCGGGAAGGGTGGCCCCGCCCCCTCGGGCTCTGAGCGACCCGTCACCCCCAAGTGGAGGACTGCGGAGCCCGGGTGTTACAGCCCAGGAACCCTGACTCCGGGGAAACTGGCCGGTGAAGACACCTGGGCAAGTCACTGACTCTGTGAGCCTCAGTTTTCCCCTCTGTACAATGGGGATAAGAGTAACCCCACGTCACGGATGAAAAGATTAAACTAGATGTCGGGAGGAAGGCGGGAGGAGAAGTGGGGAGGAGCGATAATCCAGACAATCCCGCAGGCACTGCCTGAGCTGCAGTGCTGGATCGGCCACGTCATTCCTGCATCTGTCTGTGGGGATGTTTCTCTCTCCGGCCCCACTCTCCTGCTAGTTCCCCAGTTGGGCCCCTGATGCTGGACCCGGAGACACCACTCCAGAAAGTTGATGGGTTATAGGTGCTTCTTTCCTGCTCCCGACGGGCGGGGGCGGGGGGGGGGAGCGCCCGAGGCGCTTTCTGGAGCCCCACGGATCCTGACCTGGGGCCTCCTGCTCAATGTTCCGGCTCAATGTTCAACAGCCCCCGAAGCTTCCTCCTGCTGCCTGTGCTGGGACCTCAGGAAAAGAGGCGGAACAGACACAGAGGACTGTGATTCCAGAGGGAGATGTGGACGAAAAGGGGCCACATGCTAACCTAACTCAGGGAAGGTCCGCATGGAGGCCTTGCAACCAAAGAATGGTCTGAAATTAAACTTAAAAAACAACAACCATATATATATATATATATATATTTCAGAGAGAAAGGGAGAGAGAGATAGAAACATCAATGATGAGAGACAATCATTGACCAGCTGCCTCCTGTAGGTAGGCCCCACACTGGGGACTGAGCTGGCAACCCCGGCATGTGCCCTGACCGGGAATTAAACCATAACCTCCTGGTGCATAGCTCGATGCTCAACCATGCCAGTCAGGCTAATTCTATTCTTTTTTAACACATATTTTTATTTATTTCAGAGGGGAAAGAAGAGGGAGAGAAAGATAGAAACATCAACGATTTAAAAAAAGAGAAAAGAAACATCAATGATGAGAGACAATCATTGATCTGCTGCCTACCATGGCCCACACTGGAATCCAGCCTGAAACCCGGGGCATATGCCCTGACTGGGAATCAAACTATTAGGGGCAAAAATAGAAACTTGGGGACTAGGTATAGTTATAACAACCAGCTAGGGCTGAATGTTTTGTATGTTAACAGAGTGCAGTTGGCCTGTGGACTGGACAGCTAACATTAATAAGGCCAGATGGCTGTTCCTTATGCTTCCCGGGCAGCAGCCCTTTGGGAGGGTCACTGTGCCCATTTTAGAGTGAAGTTCAGATGTGCGGCTTGTTGCAAGTCACACAGCAGAGCTGGGACTCACATCTGAGTTTGTCTCACTATTTATAACCCCCTCCATATGCCACTAAAGGAGGCAGCAAAGTAAGTCCTAAGAGGACCAAGTGGTCAGATCCCACTTGGGTTAGGGGTGAGGGTAAGGCAGGCACATCTGCTTCCAAGATCCACCCCACCCTGTCCAGTCTGACCTTCTGGCAACCCAGGGCATCAAGGCTGGAGTTCTGGCTGGTCCCAAACAAGTGGATTTTACCAGTGTAACTTGTGGCAAATCGGTGGGATGGGGGAAAGGACTCACTGTTGCAACCATCACATCATTCTATTTCCTCCTCACCCAACCTGTGAGTAGATGCTGTTATCCTGTTTTTACAAACGAGGAAACTGAGGCTCAGAGAAGTTCAATAGCCACAGCCCAAGGGCACTCAGCAAGGAAGGCAGACCAGCTCCCAAGTCTACCCGAGGCCAAGGCCATGTTTGCGATGTTTGCTTCTGGCTAGACAGGTTGAGGATCGGAGAAGGCCCACGTTTTCCTCTGGCTAATTCTAAACAAACCAGTGAGAAGCCGTATTGTCAGGTCCCTCGGGATTCCTGGCTGTGGGTCACCTCCTTAGTGGAGCCCGAGGAACCTGTCTCTGCCCCTCCCTCCAGGAGTAGGAGGGAAAACTGAGGATCTGGAACCAGGAGGGGCCTCAGGAAGGGTCTGTGGGTTGGAGGGATCCTCTCCACTGGCTCTGCCCAAGGGAGTCTGCCCCACTCCCACCGGCCTCACCTCTTCCTCCATCAGAACCTTCTTCCCACCTCGCTCTCTGAGGTGCCCGAGCCCCGCCTTCACCTACCGCTGGCGCTCTGAGCTCCAGCCATGCTGAGCATCTTTCCTCAGGCCTCAGGTCAGGTGCCCTCAGAAGCCCCTCGGTGACTGGCCAGTAAGGTCACATGTCATTTTGTCCATGGTGATGCCTGTCTCCCTCCTAGGCTCGAGTGCCTTGAGGACAGGGAACCATGGTTATATCCTCAGTGCTTGACACAAAGTAGAAACTCGGTAAATATTTACGGTTGAGTGAATGAATGGAAGTGGATAAGTGCTGTTCACTCATTCACTGATTCAGTCAGTCAGTCAGATACCACAATAGAGTAGGACTCAATGAGGTCCAGCGTCAGAGGAGACCTCTTTGAGGAGGTGATGCTGAAACGGTCTCTAAGGACAATGGCAGCTGGGAGGTCAGGGCAGAAGGGCTGCTGAGCAAAGGCAGCGAGGTATGAAGCAGCTTGAAAGGCAGTTTGAGCCCAGTCTTCCTAGAAGCCTTTACGGTCAGCACATGTGGACAGTGCAGTGTCAGCATCAGGCTCCTCGAACTTCCTCTCCCTGTGGGCTGGGGTCATGTGCCTGCCTGACTGCTCCTGACACTTGAATCCAGATGTCAGCTGACCTGAGGGCAAGTCCTTTCCCCTTCCCATCCCAGCTCCACCTTCTGCTAAGTGAGGCAAATCACGGTGCCCACCGCACAGGGTAGTTCAGGAAGAACTGTATAACCTAACAGGTAAATATATGCATATTTGCATTAGACAGATCTGGGTTTAAGTTCCAATGTGGCCTTGGTCAAGTTTTATTCATTCATTAATTCATTCACTTAGTAATTATTTCAGTAAGTGCTAGCTGTCTTATATACTAGGCATTTATGCTGCACTGAAAATAAGGAGACACAATTCCCGTCCTGGGGGGTTCACATTGTACTGGGGAAGACAGACAATAAATACATAGATAATGTGATGACAGGGCGCAATCAGTGCTATAAATACAAACCGGGCAATGGCTTGAAGGGTGAGAGCATGTTGTATCAAAATAGGATGATCTGGTCCAGCCGGCGTGGCTCAGTGGTTGAGTGTCGACCTATGAACCAGGAGCCCAGTCAGGGCACATGCCCGGGTTGCAGGCTCCATCCCCTGTGTGGGGTGTGCAGTAGGCAGCTGACCAATATTTCTCTCTCATCATTGATGTTTCTCTCCCTCTCTCCCTCTCCCTTCCTCTCTGAAATCAATAAAAATATATTTTAAAAAATAGGGTGGTCTGAGGTGACATCTGAACAGACATCAGGGGAAGTGAGAGGGTGAGGGAGTAATGAGGCTTATGTGAAATCCAGGGAGGATAGTTCCAAGCAGGAAGAACAGCAAGAGCAAAGGCCCTAAAGTGGGAGCAGGCAAAGAGTACTCCAGCCCTCGCCGGTTTGGCTCAGTGGATAGAGCGTCGGCTTGTGGACTGAAGGGTAATTCACTTAGTAATTATTCCAGCCCAGGCACGTATCCCGGCCCTGGTCAGGGTGCATGCGGGAGGCAACCAATTGATGTGTCTCTCTCTCATTGATATTTCTCTCTGTCTCTCCCTCTCCCTTCCACTCTCTCTAAAAATAAGTGTAAAGCCCTCACCAGTTTGGCTCAGTGGATAGAGCATTGGCCTGTGGACTGAAGGATCCCAGGTTCAATTCCAGTTAAGGGCATATGCCTAGGTTGCTGGATTGATCTCCAGTAGGGGCGTGCAGGAGGCAGCCCATCGATGATTCTCTCTCATCACTGATGTTTCTCTCCTTTCCTCTCTGAAATCAATAAAAATATATCTATAATAATAAAAGCATAATATGCTAATTAGACCAGATGTCCTTCTGGACAACCTTCCAGACGACCTTCCAGATGAAGCGGGCTTCGAGAGAAGCCTGGGTCCCGGGTGCCAGAGGGAAGCCAGTGGAGGCAGGGCGGGGGAAGGGGGGAGGAAGGCCTACTCTTGCACAGATTTCATGCATTGGGCCTCTAGTTTAAAAAAAAAAAGTGGAAAAATATCCTCAGGTGAGGATTAAAAAAAAAAAAGAGTACTCCAAGAGCTGAGAGACTGGGAAGAGGGAACAGAAAGGAGGAAGTAAGTGGTGGGTGATGATGGTAGAGAGGAGGAGGAGGCTTCAGAGGCCAGCCTGTGGACTTCAGCTTTCGCATCAAATGTGTTGAGAAGTCAGTGGTTTGGGGGCAGGCAAATTACATGATCTAAATGTTTTCTTGCTGTCCCATCAGTGTGGCTTGAACCAAGAGGTCACCGGTTTGATTCCCAGTTGCAGGATATCCGCAGGTTGCAGGCTCGATCCCTAGCAGGGAGGCATGCAGAAGGCAGCTGATCAATGATTTTCATCATTGATGTGCCGGGGTCCAGCCCCAGAGGTCCAGGGGTTCCCAAAGGTGTGGATGGTGTCGGCGAAGAATGAAGGACACGGAGACAGCGTTCAGATGATCAGCATCGTCAGGTTCTTTTTTATTGCCCTGTTACAGCTGTATTTATACTATTTGATTCTATAAGCAGGCGTCTATAGTTACGTCATGGTATGTTTTGGGTCCTCCTTTGACATTTTACAGTTTCTTGTTTTATGTTTACAGTTTCTTACCTGACCTTTGCTAAAAATCTTATTTCTATTTAGCTCTGCTGATTTTAATCTTATCTATTGTATATGTTTCTACATTCTATTCTAAAGGTTAGTCTCTGTGTTTCATTATAAGGGCTAGTTTGTTATTTCTATTCTAAGGTTACTATTCTATTGCTCTACTGTTAAGCTATAAGGAAAAA